GTAAGACTTTCTGTTATGTTGCAAAAAAAAAAAATGTAATCCACTCATGCTTTCTCACACTGGCATTATCAATAAGCATTTGAAAACTCCTCATGTGCATGGATTGGAAAATGATGGTACACTGACATAAACTTCTCTTGTAATTCAAATTTTCATGAACTCTTCAAAGTCTTCTCATTGTTTTAGAGAGAGGCTATGTGCTGACGCTAATTAGAAAATATTAGAGGTCAAAATTATGTTTAATGCACCTAACCTGCTGATCCTCACAGCTTAGCAATGAGGGACACTGGAGAGTAACGCTGTGGACCCTCGGGATTGTGTGGCTGATGGGCTGCCGGGCTCCCTGCCTGGCACTTCCAGAGACTCTGGCACCAAGGACCACAGCCTGAGAAAAGATCAAACTCCGACCTGGAAATGCGGTTTCTGCTCCATGTGTATCGCTTTTGCACCTTCTTAACTTGCAGAAAATCTCAGTCAAGCTGGTGTTTGCACCAGGAATACAGGCCAATCCTCCCCCAACTCCACTCCTTGAGCCTGGGGCCACACTGATGTTAGAGTGATGGCTGCAAGCCGTGACCATTTTTAGAACTTGAAAACCCATGTTTCTCTTCTCTGTCTCTGATGTCTGTGCCTAGTGAGTTGCTGTTGAGCTACTTTATTTCCTCCCATTCTTATTCGAGTGAAGCCTGGCTCACTTGTAAAATGAGGACAGGTTAACATGAATAATCTTTGCACACACACATGTGAAGCATTGTAAATGCTCTCTGGGGTATAGTAAATGTTCCAAACTTCATGGTTCAGTTTAAAGCCTGTTACTTCTCTAAGAAAATCCGGCAATAATTATTTCCTCAGTCTTTCAGCTCCTTGTCACTGCAAGTGTGACCCATAGAGATCACTTTAATCCCTTGGAAATTGAGAAGCAGGGGCCAGCCTCTTGGTGCCGTGGGTGAGGCCACTGCTTGAGACACCAACACCCCACATTAAAGTAGTGATTTGAGTCCTTGCTGCTCCGCTTCTGATTCAGCTCCCTGATAATGAGCCTGGGAAAGCAGCAAAAGATGGCACAAGTGGTTGTTTTGCTGCTACCCTTGTGGGAGACCAGGATGGAGTTCCTGGCTCCTGCTTTCAGCCTGGTCCAGATCTGCCTGTTGCAGCTCTCAGGGAAATAAACCAGCAGAGGAAAGTTTCTCTGTGTGTGTGTCTGTGTTTCTGTGTGTGTGTGTGACATGTATGCAGATCATCCGGACAGAAGATCAACAAGGAAACAGCATATTTAATCGACACTATTGCCCAAATGGATCTAACAGATATCTACAGAACTTTCAATCCTACATCTACAGACGTCACATTCTTCTCAGCAGTGCATGGAACCTTCTCTAGGATTGATCACATACTAGGTCATAAAGCAAGTCTCAGAAAATTTAAAAGAATTAGAATCATACCATGCAGCTTCTCAGACCACAGCGGAATGAAGCTGGAAATTAGCAACTCAGGAAACCCCAGAAAGTATGCAAACACATGGAGACTGAACAACATGCTCCTGAATGAACACTGGGTCATTCAAGACCATGCAGCTTCTCAGACCACAGTGGAATGAAGCTGGAAATTAGCAACTCAGGAAACCCCATGGGATACGGCAAAAAGCAGTATTGAGAGGCAAGTTTATAGCAATAGGGGCCTATATCAAGAAATTGGAATGGCACCAAATAAATGAGCTTTCAGTGCATCTCAAGGACCTAGAAAAACTGCAGCAAACCAAACCCAAATCTAGTAGGAGAAGAGAAATAATTCAAACCAGAGAAGAAATTAACAGGATTGAATCAAAAAAAAATTACAAAAAATCAGCCAAGCGAAGAGCTGGTTTTTTGAAAAAATAAACAAAATTGACACCCCATTGGCCCAACTAACTAAAAAAAGAAAAGACCCAAATCAATAAAATCAGAGAAGAAAAAGGAAATGTAACAACAGACACCACAGAAATAAAAAGAATCATCAGAAATTACTACAAGGACTTGTATGCCAGCAAACAGGGAAACCTATCAGAAATGGATAGATTCCTGGACACATGCAATCTACCTAAATTGAACCATGAAGACATAGAAAACCTAAATAGACCCATAACTGAACAGAAATTGAAACAGTAATAAAGGCCCTCCCAACAAAGAAAAGCCCAGGACCAGATGGATTCACTGCTGAATTCTACCAGACATTTAAAGAAGAGCTAATTCCATTTCTTCTCAAACTATTCAGAACAATCGAAAAAGAGGGAATCCTCCCAAATTCTTTCTATGAAGCCAGCATCACCTTAATCCCTAAGCCAGAGAAAGATGCAGCACTGAAAGAAAATTATAGACCAATATCCCTGATGAATGTAGACGCAAAAATCCTCAATAAAATTCTCGCCAATAGAAAACAACAACACATCAGGAAAATTATCCACCCAGACCAAGTGGGATTTATCCCTGGTATGCAAGGATGGTCCAACATTCGCTAAACAATCAATGTGATTCACCACATTAACAGACTGCAGAAGAAAAACCATATGATTATCTCCATTGATGCAGAGAAAGCATTCGATAACATTCAATAATTCTTCCTATTCTACCTGCTATCTTGACTTCAAGTGGCTCAGACTGTCACGTTTGAATCAGGGAGGCAACACATTTTCTACCAAAGCCATTGATGAGTTCTTTTATAAAAATCTCTTCTATAAATTCCCAAGTACAGTGAATCCCTCAGGAATGCCCCTAGGAACGCTGAGGGGCCCCATCCCTCAGGGTTTCCCAGGTCTCAGGTTCGGGGCCAGGGTGCTTTCCCATGGACCTCAGATGGACTAAGCAGGAAGGCTGTGCCATTTCTGGAAAGATGGACCCGTGTGGAGGAGCTGCCATCCAGGAGCCAGGTGCTTGACATAGCAGCGGGAGGCTTGGCTTCAGCTGCAGCACAGGGAGCAGCCCAGTGCCCAGGGCGCAGTGCGTGCACGGAAGCTCTGTGCTTCTCAACACCGTCAGGGCCGTTTCCCAGGGCACTAGGGGACAGGAGGGATGGCCAAGGAGACGCCAGGAGCACGCGCACGGGCGGCAGGAGAGCCTCCAGCAGGTTTCCAGCCCGGTCAGGGCCTCGCCATCCTCATGACTTCCCGCTACCTTCGGGCTTGCTCACCGCCAGTGCGCATGCCTATGAGCAGGGCTGGACATTGGCGGGCTCCAGTTACCTTCCAACATCTCCCAGCATGCCTTGCGGGCATTCCGGCCCTGAGGAACTGGGTGCCAAAAGACTGTGTCGCCAATGGCGGCGTCGTCAGGGTCTGCTACTTGCAAGGTAATGGCTGTCCAGACCTGCACGTCCCCGATCTGTGTGGATGCCTGAGCTTGAGGGGCTCTGATATCGCAGGGGCCCTGCAGCGGCTTCCGCAGGTGCTTCTCTCAAATTGACCAGGGCAGAGGCCGGGAAGACTCCTTCAGGTTTAGAAAACCCTCTTGTGGGTGTGCATGTAGTGCGGGTTGTTGAAAGGGAGTGCCTTTCTCAGCTGCGCCTATTGGACTCACGAATCCCCCCAAATAAGGAAACATGCACAGCATTCGTGTTCCGTTGGAATGCACAGCTCGCTGATGTGTGCGACCTGCCTCATTTTAATAACAAGCTTTGGATCCTAGAGGGGTGTGATGTCACGTTTCCCTTAGCAGCCTAGGTTGTAGTAAATACAAGATTTTGGCAAAAATCGATGAAAGCACTGCGTGAGATTCAGCTGTGTGCATGAAATATAGGCTGCTGTGTGTGTGTCTCTTTTTTGAAAAGGAAATTGGGCTGAAGTGATATAAAAATCAAAACACCTATGAAACTTAGCAATACATTTATTGATAATAAACCATAGTTTTACAATCACTTTCAATACCAAATGTAGTGTTCCTTCCAATTGAGGCTACTCTGTGGCTTACTTGTGATCAAAGAGTAGAAACGCATGAATAATTTATCATGTGTCTCTCATTATTTACATACTTCACATAATGTATTTAATCTTCTCAGTAACTCTGATCCTGGGTGTATTGTGGATGTCTCCTTTACAGATGAGCTGAGATACTTTATCACAGTGGAAGTCAGTGTCCAATCACCTTCAGAAAGTGTGCAGTTTCAATCAGGTCAGTGTTCAATCAACTTCACAAAGTGTGCAGTTTCCTTTTCTAATACCTGGAAACCATTCATAGCATGTGAGCATGCACTGTGGAGGGATTTGAATGAATTCACCAATAAAACCAAATTCCTTCAGGAAAGACAGTTTTTCCCAGTGAGTCAAAGCCAAGAATTTCCCACTAAAACTCTTCCTCAACAATGCAAGGATCCGGGAGGGTACTTTTAAAAAATAGACCTTTAACAACCACATATGGGCCCTTTGACAGCTAGCTACACAAGGGCTAGTCTTTTCTTCACACAGACAGGTGGATTTCACAGCTTTCTAGTGACAGTAGGGGCTCATATCACTGAACATGAGTTCAGTTAGTTTCTCACATAATTAGATCCAATTTACAAAAGCCTTTTCAGGACAGTTTCCTAAGTCCCATTTCAAGCAGCTCCATCTCACACCATTAAATAGGTGGTGTCAAGTGATGATCCCCAGTATTGTGTTAGGCTCCACCATTTGATCCTGTATCACAGCATTGAGTCTCAAAGCAGACCTGCTCCCTGATGCTTCCCCCACCTAAGGCTCTCAGTCACTTCCCAGTCCTGAAGACCTGAGGCCATCCTCTCTGACCCAGAGTCAGGGTGGGGGTGGGAGTCTTGTAGGCAGCCTTTAGACACATCAAGGCCAGTCTTGGCAGGTGGAGTTCTTGGGAGAAGAAAGTCACATCCTCCCATCCTGAAGGAGGATGATAATCAAGAACGCTCTGTGAAAATTAGCTGTGCCATCAGAGGCCCCAAAAAGTTGCTTACGTATGTTGTTATCTTTGTGCTTCCATTTGTTTTGTTGTGCTGGTTATGCTGGCCCACACAAGTTCTCCCTTTCAGTCACTGTCATCAGAGGAGGAAGAGACCAGAAGATCTTCACAGAGGACACTCCTTGTGACCTGGGGACCCTGCCTCTCAGACTCCTTTAAGACGTGAGTGTTCTGACAAGCAGCTGTAGACTTCCCTGGATTGGATGCGGGAGGGGTTCTGGACCTGGCACTGTCCTGTTTCTTGGGGCCGATTCTCTGTGTCATGTCTGGAACATGACTGGACACTCGAGGTTGGAAGATTGGGCAGTTCTGGCCTGAGCTTGAGCAATGTGAGTTAGATGGAGGCTGAGGGTCAGAAATTGGCTTCAGGACTGGCATCTTTGTGGACCCTTGGGGTGCCCGAGAGTGTGCAGGTCCACTTGTACTGGAGAGAGGTTGGGAAACCAGGAGTCTTGGCTTCTTGGGGCAGTTCTGGCTGGTCTGCATGGTGTCCTGGACAGACCTCTTGCCTGGAGCCTGGGTGCTGAGTTTGGAGTTCTGGACACAATTTTTTGTGACTGGCTGTGGAGGCAACTTTGAATCCACCTCCGCAACTTTGATCTGCGCCTGTGGATTAGACCTGTGACCCAGGGTAGGTGTCTTCCTGGCAGGTTGAAGAGTGTCACGAGAGGAAACATCAGGCCCTTTGGCTGTTGGCTTGGCACTGCCAGCTGGGCCTGGGGTGAATTTCTTTAGAACATGGTGAGGGGAGTCAGCAAAGTTGACCCCAGATCCTTGGGCTGGGCTGTCAGTGCTCAGCTGAGGTGTTTTGTTTGGAGCCTCAGTAGTGCAGCGTGATCTATAAGGTGTCTCACTAGGCAGTGGACATGGCAGTGCAGAGCCGAGGGGCGACTTCCTCTTGGATGTTTGCACAGGCAACGGTCTAGTAGGATGCTGTGGCAAGAAAGTTCACATTAGACCCCTCAGATGGATGAAGAACTCACATAGTCAACCATACAAAAATGGAAAATCAGCATGTTAGTAACGAAAAAGGATATTGATTACTAATATAAATAGGAAGAGAAAGTAGCACATACAGGTAGCACATACAAGATTGCATCTAAATCAGGACCACAAAAAGGGATGAGGCAGCCAATATAAAGAGACAGTACATGTGAAATTAAATTTCACAGAACTAAATATTGAAATCATCCAGTCAAATCTTCAGAGATTGTATACTCAGGTTAGTGAGGGCAAAAGAATACGACATCAGTCTGATTCTTGTGTGTGGCAGATAGGACAAGATTATCATTACCTTGTCTGTTGTTAAGATCAAGGGAGTGGCTGCACTGTGGAATGTGGTGCTGGGATGAGAAGGGCTGACCACATTCCAGTTATCGATCCATGTGTTACACAGAGAGTGTTGTGAAATTTAAATAGGAAGCGAATTCTAGGAAGCTGTATCTGACTTTGAAAATGTTTCCTACAGGTTTTAAAGGTTGATTGCATGTTGGTAGATTGTTGATGGAGCACCATCATGTTGTTAAGGGGCAGTTAAATGCAGAAGACAACTACCCTGTGATGAGCTTTGAAAACTCTCTTGGGCCAGTGCTGTGGCATAGTGGGTAAAGCCACCATCAGCAGTCCCAGCAAGCCATATGGGCACCGGTTCACATCCAGGCTGCTCCACTTCAGATGCAGCTCTCTCCTATGACCTGGAAAAGCAGTGGAAGATGGCCCAAGTCCTCAGTCCCCTGTACCCACATGGGAGACAAGAAAGAACCTCCTGGCACCTGGCTTCAGATTGCACAGCTTGTGGTTGCAGCCATCTGGGAGTGAACCAGTGGATGGAAGAACTCCCTCCCACACCTCTCTTTATCTCTGTACCTCTGCCCCTCTGTGACTCTGCCTTTCAAATAAATTTTAAAAATCTTAAAAAGAACACACATGTCAACTACCTAATCCTTTCTTTATCCAATATGGAGAGTGTAAATGAGAAACATCTTTTGGAAAGGAAACATGGGATTAATAAAAGTGTAAAAGATGCCTTGGATGGATACAAGACAGCACATGATCAAATCATTCATGGATGCATCAACATGCCTCCACTAGCATTCACTTGCCAACATGAAAATAGTGACATAAAAATTCAAATAAAGCAACTGGAACATGGGATACAGACAAATAAAACAGGATTCTGTGGGCCAGCCTTGGTTTAAATATAATTCCCACAAAGAAGGGCATAGAATGAAGCAAATAAAAGGCCACAGAGAAAAAATCACACTGCAGAAGCGGGAGTAGGACTCACCCTCAGATAGGCACATGGTTCTGTTGCTGCCTCAGAGTTCTTTGGCTCCTTCTGTGGCCTCCCCTGTGTTGCCTGTGGTCCAGCTTTCCTCTGCTGCCCTTCATGCCTGCAGAACAAATCCTGTTATCTGTCTGAGGTACCTTTCCTACCTGTCTCCAAGAGGGACAGCAAACCAAACCAAGAGCACTCCCAGGGCCCCATGCTAGCCCTTGTTTAGGAGTGAGGCAGGCACTGATGCCCCTGTGAACTTGACCCCAGTGGTTCAATTCTTGTCTGGGAAGACCCTCCACCCCCAGGATGTGCTGCGTTCCCTAGTGTGACTTCAGTGTTGTGCACTTTCATTTAGTCTGTGGCTGTTCTGGCTGCCAGGAGCAGCATTCCAAGGTATTCCACAGCCCTTCCCTTTAGTGGTTCTTAGAATAGGATGAGCTCGGTGTGCACCCCTGGAAGGTCTGGAGCACTTGTCTGTTTCTCTGCAGTTGTCTGTCTATGCCTAGAGACAGCTCCAGGGAAAGAAGAGGGGACGGCACATTCTTCTTGGTAGCCAAAGCTCAGGGCTCAGACTGTGCCTGCAGAATCCTTACCTGTGAGTTCCTGCCTCTTGTCTCTCAGTCTTCCTCAAGGATTCTGCAGGCTGAAGTTCGTCAGGTTTCTTGGGTTTCAGGTTCTCCTTCTCCTGATTGCGACCCAAGGCCAGTAAGGGAACGGCCACACCCCAGGACTTCATGGGGCACCTCTTGCTTTTGGCCAAGTGCCCAAAGGCTCCACAGTTCTTGCATTTCACCTGTGGGTAGGGGAAGTGGTTATTACATGAGAGGGTACCAATCACAGGCAGTTTTCAAAGGTGGATATAAAGATTAGGGAAATTCAATATTATTTCGTGGGAGGTCATAGACCCATGGATTTTTATTTGCCAAGAAACTCAAGATATTATGATCCTCCCAGAGCCAATTGAATCCAGGGATCCAAGGAGGTAGAACTTTCACATCTAAAGGAGATGATAGTGGCTGTTCCTCACAGGCTCTGAATGTGCCGATCAGCCAGGTAAGGAGAAGGCAAACCAGCCCAGCTTGGCAAAAGAGGAATAACTGAAGGATGGACACACAGATTCCCGCGTTTAAACCAACTCCTCATGGACCCCTTTGTTCTCAAAAGCCCCAAGCCTCCGCTTACCTTGCTGTACTCTCCATCTGGTGGGGAAGCCCTCTGGCACAGCAGTCTTCTCTGTGGGTTATTGTCCTTCAGGGGCCTTCGAGGCTGATGACATACTGAATGGCGTGCCATCTGATTCATAGCCTATGGCTTCTGATCAGGCTTGCTCTTTAATTGATCATTGGTTTTCCTAGTCCAAAGAAACAAATTTAAAAATTCAAAATGTATGACACAAGCCCCTCATACATCTATTTCTCCCAGGAGAGATTGAAGGGACTTCCTGAGTACTAACCCGCATCCACCACATCTTGGATCTGTGATAGATGCCCCATTCTGACCTATTTTGTGAACTCGTTGTAGTGTTTACCTACTGCCAAAAAAGGACACTGCCCAAGAAAAGACCACTTAATTAAAAGGCTTCTAATAGATGGTGATAGTGAATTGGCAACCCTACACAAAAGTATTTTTGGTTCTGAGTGTTGGTCTAGCTTCTCTCTCCAGACTAAAAGCCCCAGCAAAGCCAACAGAAGGGTAGCCAACAACTGGTATTTCAGATCATAAAAACTCTCTATTTTCACAGAGTAACTTCTTACCCACAAAGCCGGCAGAATGCTCTGACCAAGCTTTGATATTTCACCTTTCAAAACAAAATGAATTCTCTCAAGTTAACTGAGGGCAAAAGTAAGTTAGATGCTGGGTGACAGTGAGGCAAAGGGAGACAGTCACACGCACTATTCTTGGACATAGAATGAAAATCAACAAGTAAGTGCTTGACCTTTATACAATCCTTGCTTCTGAAAAGCTGAAGTTGACAAATTGATGCGGTCTGTGATCAACCAGTCAAACTGAACAGTTCCCAACAGGGCATGTGCATAAGCCAGTCAGAACTGAGCAAGCTGAAATCCTTCATTTGCATCAGGAGGACTCCATGAGACCCTGAGCAGGACATCTCCCTCAATAGGAGAATTCCTTCCTCTCTTGGGAGAGGTTCTTTGATCTCCAGTGAGGGCTGCATTGCCCTGGCTTGCAAATTCTGTGATTAACAAATCTTGTTAAATTTTTAAAGTCAAGTCCCTGTGAAGTGAGTGTCCTGCAGCCTTGTTCAGGCAGAAATGGAGGGCCCTTGGGGAATCAGGTCCTGGCCCCATGGCTCACTCCCCAAATTGGCCTTACCTGTCCTTTGGGTCATCTGGTCTTTGGGAAGTTGCTTGGGGCTGGTCCACCGTAAGCTGACATTTCCCTTGGGAGACACAGCGGGCTGTGGGATCCTCTCCAGGCTTCAGGGGAAATCGTAACATGGCCTCAACAGAGGCAACAACTACCCACTTCTCCACCATCAAATCGATCTGATAAAGAGAAAAGAGGCATCAAGATTCAACTTTCAGCCTGCAAGCAGGAAGTGACTTTGGGAAAAGAGAAGATAAACTCCCAGTCACTTGAGCATTTTCTTTTTCTTATAAAGAAGGCTTTTTGTTTAAGTATGTGTAAGATTTATAATTTATTTGAAAGGCAGAGTTACAGAGACAGAGGCAGAGAGAAAGAGAAGCCTGGCATCCACTGATTCACTCCCCAAATGGCCACAATGGCTGGACCTGGGCCGATTTGAAGCTGGGAGCCATGAGCTTCTTCTGGATCTCCCATGAGGTGCAAAGGGCCAAGGACCTGGGTGATCTGCTTTCCCAAGCCATAGCAGAGATCTGTGGAAGGAAAGGAGCAGCCAGGAAGAAAGCGGCATCCATATGGGATGCCGGCATGCAGGCAGCGGAATGACCCACCTCACCACAGTGCCAGCCCTTTTCCTTTCTGTTTAAAATGTTTTGATTAGGCCAGCGCCGCAGCTCACTAGGCTAATCCTTCACCTAGCGGCGCCGGCACACCGGGTTCTAGTCCCGGTCGGGGCACGGATTCTGTCCCGGTTGCCCCTCTTCCAGGGGAGCTCTCTGCTGTGGCCCGGGAGTGCAGTGGAGGATGGCCCAGGTATTTGGGCCCTGCACCCCATGGGAGACCAGGAAAAGCACCTGGCTCCTGGCTCCTGCCATCGGATCAGCGCGGTGCGCCGGCCACAGCGCCCCAGCCGGGGCGGCCATTGGAGGGTGAACCAATGGCAAAAGGAAGACCTTTATCTCTGTCTCTCTCTCACTGTCCACTCTGCCTGTCAAAAAATAAAAAATAAGAAAATAAAATGTTTTGATTACCATGTTAGTATTTGTAAGCCTTTTAGGAGGAGCCGGTTTTGAGACACAGAGGTAATCCATATAGGCACCAGTTTGATTCCTAGCTGCTCCATCTCTGACCCTTCTCCTTGCTAGTCTGTTGTGGGAAACACCAGAAGATGCCTCAAGTATGTGGACCCCTTCCCCCACATGAGAGACCTGCATGAAGTTCCAGGCTCCTGGCTTCTGCTCCTGGCTTCTGATGGCCTTTGCATCTATTTGAGCTGTGAACCAGCAGATGGAATCAACCAATCAGTCTCTGTGTGTGTGTGTGTGTGTGTGTATGTTTGTGTGTGTCGGTGTGTCCATCTCTCTGTAGCTCTGCATTTCAAACAAGTAAATCTCCAAGGAAAACCTTTGTGGGGCAACTGAAGTGTTTCAACACATGCCTACAGCAGGGAGCACCTTAAACTTTTGTTATTCCACAGCCAACAATGAACTTGCTGGTGACCTCCAAATAGTACCAATGGGTGAAGGTACAGGGTCTTGCTTTGTTTCCATTCTCTTCGTACTATTTGTTGACTCTTTTACTGAGAGTAGGGCTCACTCTCTGATCACTAAGTTTGCTGACAATAGATCACTGTAAAAAGCAAGAGTGGGTATCTGAGAGGGAGGGTAAGGGGGAAGTGCCACTATGTTCCTAAATCTGTTAGATGAAATGCATGAAACTTTTGTAACTTCAATAAAGTTTCAAAACAGAAAGTGGAGTCTGGGGGAAATGCTGGTGTGAGCTGAAGGGAAGTAAGATCCATAGCAATTGCATATGCCTGTGTTCTCCTAATGTCCTTTGAAATTGGCCAGTGCAATGTACAGAGAGTTTTAAACATTGACTATTACAGCTGATCATGGGAGGAGTACCTGCCTCGGACTGACCCTCAGCTTTGATGCCATCTCATTCCATCGACTTCTCACTTGACCCAGTATCTCCCATACTCACATCTTGTTGTGGGATCCCCCATTGCTTTAACAGCTCCTTCCCCTGTTCCATGGAAAGAGTGTTGGGGTCCATTGTGGATGGTGCTGGCCAAGGGCATCTGCCTCCCTGGGGAAATAGAAACGGAAGCCACTGGATTCTTATGCCCTGAATTTCAACTAGCTTCTAACAAGGCACTGAGTACATTGAAAGAAAAGATAAGTGAATAACACTGTGTTTGGAAGCCCTCAGTCAAAGTGCAATGGCCCCTTTACTGCTCACTAGCCACCCCATCTAAATCAGAAAGTTAGGAGGAAATGTTGGCCTTCATCTAATAATGAACATTTCTGAAATATGGTTTGAATCAGGCTCTACCTTGGGAAGTATGAAGCAGTTAACTAATCCTTTCCTCAACTCATAACACCACCTTCCATGGATTGTCCCCACCCTCCTATTTTTCCCATTTCATACACCAAGGCCCAAAACAATCATGGAAACTCACCTGTCGTCTTTCTCGAGCTCTGAGGTTGCTCAGGTGTGGGCACAGGGCAATTCTGCTGGAGACAGAAGCTTCCAGCATGACCAGTGAAGAGGTAGACTGAGGGGGAGGAGCCATGTCCTGCTGGGCTTTATACTGTCCCACAGCCCCAGGATGATCACGTGACACACCCTAATCCCCACAACTCAATTACATTGAGAGGATTTTCACCCAGGCCTCTGATCTGGTTCACTACTTTATTGAATGCTACTCCTATATCACTTTTCATTTCAACGCATACGTGGGCATTTAAACAACACATTGTAGTTTGGTGTTTGCCATCTCCAACATTTTTAAAAATTTTAGTATGTAACAGTGTGTTTTAGCACTATATGAAAGCTCCTAAAATTTTCATGGGAAGGGCGGGTTTCTGGAGGAGTTGGTCTTGCCCAGCAAGTTAAGCAGATTAAGCTGAAGCCATCTGCATCACTGGTATCCCATGTTGGAGTCTATGCTGCTCTGCTTCTGAGCAGCTCCCTGCTACTGTGCCTGGGAAAGTATTGGAGGATGGGCCCCGGTCAGCCACAGGAGAGACCCAGATGGAATTCGTGGCTTGTAGACATTTGGGGAGTGAACCAGTGGATGGAAGATCTCTCCCCCTCCCCCTCTCTCTTTCCTCACCCTCCCTTCCTCTTTCTCTCTCCTTCTCAGACTTTTGCTAATCCTTTCATAGAAATAAGCCACTCATGCAAAACTGGATTCAAAGTAAGTCTTTCTGTTGCAAAAAAAAATGTAATCCATTCATGCTTTCTCACACTGGGCATTATCAATAACCATTTGAAAGACTCCTCATGTGCATGGATTGGAAAATGATGGTAACTGACATAAACTTCTCTTGTAATTCAATTTTTCATGAACTCTTCGAAGTCTTCTCATTGTTTTAGAGAGAGGCTATGTGCTGACGCTAATTAGAAAATATTAGAGGTCAAAATTATGTTTAATGCACCTAACCTGCTGATCCTCACAGCTTAGCAATGAGGGACATTGGAGAGTATGGCTGTGGATCCTCGGGACTGTGTGGCTGATGGGTTGCTGGGCTCCTTCCTGGCACTTCAGAGACTCTGGTACCAAGGACCACAGCCTGAGAAAAGATCAAACTCCGACCTGGAAATGCGGTTTCTGCTCCATGTGTATCGCTTTTGCACCTTCTTAACTTGCAGAAAATCTCAGTCAAGCTGGTGTTTGCACCAGGAATACAGGCCAATCCTCCCCCAACTCCACTCCTTGAGCCTGGGGCCACACTGATGTTAGAGTGATGGCTGCAAGCCGTGACCATTTTTAGAACTTGAAAACCCATGTTTCTCTTCTCTGCCTCTGATGTCTGCCTAGTGAGTTGCTGTTCAGCTACTTTATTTCCTCCCATTCTTATTCGAGTGAAGCCTGGCTCGCTTGTAAAATGAGGACAGGTTGACATGAATAATCTTTGCACACACACATGTGAAGCATTGTAAATGCTCTCTGGGGTATAGTAAATGTT